ACCATAGTAGCACCTTTTGGTCTTCACTATCCTTCTCCGAATTTCAAAACTGATGTAATTCGTTTCATTTATGGTGGTACCAAGGTATATAAATCCTTTGACTACCTCGAAACTGTAGTTCTCAAGTTCCGCAGTTGGTCCGAGTCCACTGGACGTCTTGCGCGTTGATACCATCAGCTTGGTCTTCTCGCCATTTACTGTCAGATCCACTTTTGCAGACTCCTTTTCAATTTGTTCAAAAGTGGCTCTTACCGCTCGCAATGTTCGAATCATTATATCGATGTCATCGGCGTAGGCGAGTAACATGTGTTGTTTGGTGTACAGAGTGTCATTTCTGTTCACCTTTGTGTCTCGTATGACCTTTTCCAGCAGGATGTTAAAAAGGTCACACGACAAACTCTCACCTTGTCTGAATCCACGTTCGGTATTAAAGGGCTCCGAGAGGTCCTTTCCGACTTTAATTGCTGATCTTGTACCAATTAAAGTTATCCTGCATAGCCGAATTAATTTTGCAGGAATGCCAAACGCAGACATGGCTTCATGCACCTCTGAGCGGATAGGGCTGTTGAAAGCGGCTTTATAGTCGATGTGTTTTTCGTGGATTTTTTCCAGGATTAGGCGCAGAGTGAAAATCTGGTCAATGGTGGATTTGCCAGGTCATTGGTATGTTCCAATGATGTCATTGACCATTGGATTCAATCGTTCACACAGCACACTGGATAGAACTTTATATGCGATGGGAGGGAGACTTATTCCTCTTTAGTTGGCACATATCATCTTGTCTCATTTGTTGTGCACGGAACACAGGATGCTGAGGTTCCAATCATTGGGCATGCATTCCTCTAGCCAGTCTTGAATAGTTCGTCTGGTAACCCATCGGCATCTGCTGCTTTATTATTCTTCAGCCGATTGATTGCTATTCTGACTTCATCTTGGCTAGGTGGTATACACTATATACCGTCATATATTATTTGTTCTAGGGTATCCTCTACACCGCAACTATTTGATACCAGAAGTTTTTGAAAATCCTCCTTCCAGATACTCAGCACACTGTCTGTATCTGTCATCAGGTTTCATTCTTCATCCCTCCAAGAGGATGCGACTGCACCTAAGCCTTCGGTTTGGTGTTTTACCCATTGGTAGAATTTTCGGACTTCATTCCGACTCCTGTACATCTCGATTTGCTCACGCTCACGTTTTTCTTGCTCTTTTTTTTCTTTTTTCTGAAAATACGTTTCTCCTCTCTCCTTTTCTCGCGATAGTTCTCCATCGCATTAGGTGTTGCTACTGTCCGAAGGGTTGCCCTATACCCTGCGTTCTTGATGGTGGTCTTTGTCCTATACGTACAACGGATTTATTGATGGTGGTCTTTGGTACCCAAGTGTTGCTTTTGCTGCAGTTTGTAGGGAGTGGGCAATTCTCTGCCATTGTGATTCCATATTTTTATCGGAAGGTGGGTAAGATGAGCGGAGTAGGCCTCTGCTACCTGTTATGTTTCCAACTTTTCAACGTCGAGTTTTCGTGTTACATTAGATCGCACCTTTGCTGCTACATTAAGACGGGTGCATGGTCCGAATGGTCCGAAACGATATTCGCTCCTCGTATCGATCGAACGAATACCTTCCGCCTATCACAACATGATCGATTTGATTTCTCGTTGTTCGATAGGGAGAAATCCAAGTGGCCTTGTGTATATCGAGATGCTAGAATCTGGTGCTTCTAACTACCATGTTTTTTGCTGCCGCGAAGATAATCAACCTCATGCCGTTGTGGGATGTTTTTTCAGGGCGGCTGAATTTTCCGACATTGGGACCAAAAATATTTTCCCTTCCGATTATTGCATTAAAATCTCCTAGCAGAATTTTAATGTCATGGTCAGGGCAACGATCATATGCTGTTTCTAGGCGCTCGTAAAATATGTCTGTTGTTGGTCTGTTCATTATACCCTTCACCACACTGTGGTACAGGGTATTATGTCTTTGTGCATATGTTTGTAACAGGCAAAAGGAAACGAGATAGACACATGGTTCCTTTTGAGAATATGCATAGAATCACTTTCTAAGTCGATTTATGCATGTCCGTCCGTCCGTCCGTCTGTCCGTCTGTCTGTCTGTCTGTCTGTCTGTCCATGTTAAATTGTAAACAAAGTACAGGTCGCATTTATGATCCGAATTGAATGAAATTTGGCATAGGTCACTTATTCGGCCCAAGGACGAACCCTATTGAAATTGGGAAAAATCGGTTCAGATTTAGATATAGCTCCCATATATATATTTAACCGATTTAATGTAAACGGCCCCTATATATCTTTCGATTTGCACGAAATTTGGTACAGCTTAATCATTTAGGTCTAGAATGATGTCTCCCAAGTTTCGTGAAAATCGGTCCAGATTTAGATATAGCTCCCATATATAGTTTCGTCCGATTTCATGTATATGGTGCCCCAAAGTTCCTATATATCTTTTGATTTGCACGAAATTTGGTATAACGTACTGAATTAAGCCTAGAGTGATGTCTGCCAAGTTTGGAGAAAATCGGTCCAGATATAGATATAGCTCCCATATATAGTTTCGTCCGATTTCATGTAAAAGGTGCCCCAAAGTCCCTATATATCTTTCGATTTGCGCGAAATTTGGCATAACGTACTGAATTGAGCTTAGAATGATGTCTAACAAGTTTGGAGAAAATCGGTCCAGATTTAGATTTAGCTCCCATATATAGTTTCGTACGATTTCATGTAAATGGTGCCCCAAAGTCCGTATATATCTTTTGATTTGCACGAAATTTGGCATAACGTACTGAATCAAGCCTAGAGTGATGTCTGCCAAGTTTGGAGAAAATCGGTCCAGATTTAGATATAGCTCCCATATATAGTTTCGTCCGATTTCATGTAAATGGTGCCTCAAAGTCCCTATATAACTTTCGATTTGCACGAAATTTGGCATAACGTACTGAATTAAGCCTAGAGTGATGTCTGCCAAGTTTAGAGAAAATCGGTCCAAATTTAGATATAGCTCCCATATATAGTTTCGTCCGATTTCATGTAAATGGTGCCTCAAAGTCCCTATATAACTTTCGATTTGCACGAAATTTGGCATAACGTACTGAATTGAGCCTGGAATGATGTCTACCAAGTTTCGAGAAAATCGGTCCAGATTTAGATATAGCTCCCATATATAGTTTCGTACGATTTCATGTAAATGGTGCCCCAAAGTCCCTATATATCTTTTGATTTGCACGAAATTTGGCATAACGTACTGAATTAAGCCTAGAGTGATGTCTGCCAAGTTTGGAGAAAATCGGTCCAGATTTAGATATAGCTCCCATATATAGTTTCGTCCGATTTCATGTAAATGGTGCCTCAAAGTCCCTATATAACTTTCGATTTGCACGAAATTTGGCATAACGCACTGAATTGAGCCTAGAATGATGTCTACCAAGTTTCGAGAAAATCGGCCCAGATTTAGATATAGCTCCCACATATAGTTTCGTACGATTTCATGTAAATGGTGCCCCAAAGTCCCTACATAACTTTCGATTTGCACGAAATTTGTCATAACGTACTGAATTGAGCCTAGAATGATGTCTGCCAAGTTTCGTGAAAATCGGTCCAGATTTAGATATAGCTCCCTTTTATTATAGATTGATTTTAAGTAATTGACGTACTAAGGAACCAATAGAAACAAAACGTTCTGAAATTAGTATAACCTAACCTGTGACAAGTTTGTTTGAAATCGCTTAATATTTGGATAGAGCTTCCATATATATTTTCGACCGATTTCAAGTAAATTGGGCATCAGACTCCTCATGTTAGTCAGATTGACATCAAATTGTGCACAACGCACAAAATTGAGCATACAATTACGTAGTTGCGTTTTCTAGAAGTACAGACATAGCCCAACGGACTTATTTATATTTGTTTGAAGTCGATTAACATACTTTATGGATAGATCTAGGTAGATTCACATTTAAATAAATATTACTTTTTTTCATCCAATTACATGTTAATAGTCCTGTTTAATATACCCATAGTGGTGAAGGGTATCATATAGTCGGCCCCGTCCGACTTTACTACTTTCCTTACTGGTTTTTATCTTCGGTCAGAGCATGGGAGCAAATGAGACTGATGTATAAGAACTTCGCTTTTATACGGAGCAATTCGCTCATCCACTGGAGTGAATCTGGAGACGAGGTCTTTTTTTCTCCTGTTAACCATAAATCCGCAGCCAAATTCATGTCTAGTTTCATGGCAGCTATGATACAGTGCGTAATCGTCTGATTTACTTACGCCTATCCCTTTCCATCGCATTTCCTGTAAGGTAATTTTATCGGCTTTGTACTTCTTGAGCGAACACTGTGCCTGTTCTGTACAACGTGCGCACATTCCAAGTGCAGATTCGCAGATCGTGGTCCTTTATACGTTTGCGGGGGTCGTCAATATTAGGGTAGTTTGGTTTTCTTTTTCTTTGCTTTTTCATAGTAGGTTGGGTTTTCCGAGAGTGGGCAACTAACCCGACGTCTTAACCCCTTTTTTATAGTTCTTATGGATGAACTCGCGGCACATATTAGCTCACTATTTTTTTAAATAATTTTTTTCTGGGCTCTATATGAGGCGTGGATTTTTTAAATAAATTTTTTTTTTTGGCTTTTTTAAATAATTTTTTCGGTCTTTTTTTAAACAATTTTGTTTTTTTTTTTTTAAAATTGGGTTTTTTTTTAAATCATTTTTATCCCACTGTCCACTCTAAGGCCTCCATCTCGATATGTCCATGGCTTTGCAGTTAACATCAATAACAATTAAATTACTTTTTTCCCCAACCATCATCACAAAAGCCATTTGCCTTAACCACCACCAACGCCAACAACAACAACAATACCGCCATCAAATTCATTTATTATTGTATATTTGCAATGTTGTTTCGATATGCTCTTGTTGTTATTGTTGTTTTTTCTGTATTTCATTCGATTTTTTTCCTCTCTTTATTTGTTGTTCGTTTTAGTGCCACCGGATATTTTAGATTATCCCACCAGCACGGATATGGTTGTACGTGAAGGTTCTAATGTGACACTCAAATGTGCGGCCACCGGATCGCCAACACCCACAATAACATGGCGTCGGGAGGGTGGCGAACCAATACCGATACCGAACGGAACTGAAGGTATGTAGCGAAGTGTTTACTGGTATTACGAGTGAGTGTATGAATGTCGGAATGGTTGACTGGATGAATGAATGAATGCATGCATGGTTTCTGATCGGAAGCCACCCCATCAGCAAATAGTAATACTAAAGTGCAAGGGGTTAGGGGGTAAGGGGTGTGGTGAGGACAAACATTAAATGTGAAATGTTAAACGGAAACGGAAATACACATGAGCACATGAGCGCGGAAATGCAATATGGAGAAAATTCAAACATATGGATTTGCCAAAGCAAACAGCAAAAAGGACGGATGAAATAAAACAAAAGCACCAACACACACTCACACAACTCCTCTAACATCGTTACAATCACATTTTTCATTAAAAACATGTTTAATGATTTCTGCAGTGGGAAAATACTGAAAAAACAAAAGAGCAACACCAACAACAAATTGCATTTCCATCCTTCAGTATTACTGCAGCTGATAGGTGGGGGGATGGTGGGGTATTACATTCCATGAACTTTTCAATAATTGATTACCAGGTCTTTTGCACAGCTGGTATCCTGCAGGTAGATTATGTGATCAAATAATGTAACTATGGTAACATTTATCAATGCAAATTATTCCAAGAAAGGAATGGATTTTTAAAATAATATTTGAGGGGTCCTCCATGAACTATGGATTTTTAAAATGATTTTTTTCTGGGTCTACACATAGGTGTAGATTTTTTATACCCTTCACCACACTGTGGTACAGGGTATTATGGCTTTGTGCATATGTTTGTAACAGGCAAAAGGAAAGGAGATAGACACTGGGTTCTATTTGAGAATATGCATAGAATCACTTTTTAACTCGATTTATGCATGTTAGTCCGTCCGTCTTTATCTCCGTCTGTCTGTCCATGTTAAATTGTAAACAAAGTACAGGTCGCATTTATGATCCGAATTGGATGAATTTTATTATAAGTCACTTATTTGGCCCAAGAACGAACCCTATTTAAATTGGGAAAAATCGGTTCAGATTTAGATATAGCTCCCATACATATTTGTTTCCGATTTGCTATAAATGGTGCACCAAAGTACCTATCTATCATTCGATTTGTACGAAATTTGGCATAGCGTAATAATTTAAGTGTAGAATGATGTGTGTCAAATTTCGTGAAAATCTGTTCAGATTAGATATAGCTCCCATATATACTTTCGTTCGATGTTAGGTAAATATGGCACCAAAGTTCTTTATATCCTTCGATTTGCACGAAATTTGGCACAGCGCACTGAATTGAGCCTTCAATAATGTCTGTCAAGTTTCGTGAAAATCGGTCCAGATTTAGATATAACTCCCGTATATATTTTCGTCCGATTTTATGTAAATGCTGCACCAAAGTCCCTAAATATCTTTCGATTTGCACGAATTTTGGCACATCTTACGGAATTAAGTCTAGAGTAATGTGTGCTAAGTTTTGCGAAAATCGGTTCAGATTTAGATATAGCTCCCATATATAATTTCGTCCGATTTTATGTAAATGGTGCACCAAAGTCCCTTAATATATTTTGATTTGCACGAAACTTGGCGTAGGGTACTGACTTGGGTGTAGAATGATGTGTGCTATGTTTCGAGAGAATCGGTTCAGATTTAGATATAGCTCCCATACACATTTTCGTTCGATTTCAGGTAAATAGTGCACCAAAGTTCCTTTATATCCTTCGATTTGCACGACATTTGGCAAAGCGTTTTGATTAAAGTCCTGAAAGATGTGTGTTAAATTTCGTGAAAATCGGTTCGGAGTTAGGTATAGCTTCCATATATATTTTCGCTCGATTTTAGCTAAATATTGCACCAAAGTCCCTTTATATCCTTCAATTTGCACGAAATTCGGCATAACATAATGAAATTTGGATCCTTGCTTTTTTTTTAAATCCAAGCCTTTTATGGGTCCCAAAAAAGTTTTCTTTAAAAAATCTACGCCTCTTATAGAGCCCTTAAAAATATTCTTTACAAAATCCACGCCTCTTATAGAGCCCTTAAAAATATTCTTTAAAAAATCCACGCTTCTTATAGAGCCCTTAAAAATATTCTTTAAAAAATCCACGCCTCTTATAGAGCCCTTAAAAATATTCTTTAAAAAATCCACGCCTCTTATAGAGCCGTTGAAAATATTCTTTAAAAAATCCACGCTTCTTATAGAGCCCTTAAAAATATTCTTTAAAAAATCCACGCCTCTTATAGAGCCATTGAAAATATTCTTTAAAAAATCCACGCCTCTTATAGAGCCGTTCAAAATATTCTTTAAAAAATCCACGCCTCTTATAGAGCCGTTGAAAATATTCTTTAAAAAATCCACGCCTCTTATAGAGCCGTTGAAAATATTCTTTAAAAAATCCACGCCTCTTATAGAGCCGTTGAAAATATTCTTTAAAAACTCCACGCTTCTTATAGAGCCGTTGAAAATATTCTTTAAAAAATCCACGGCTCTTATAGAGACCCAAAAAATATTCTTTAAAAAAAGGTCCTGAACATTTTCCAACAAATTATTTTAAAGCACTCACTGAATTGTTTTCCTGTATATCTGCTCCTGTCACGATTTGTAGCAAAATGTCATCCTTTATCTTTTCTATTTTTCTTCTGCTTCTTCTTTTCATTTTCTATTTTTGTCGCAGCCATCAGTTACAATGGTTCATTCCTAACGATTGCCAAGGTGAAGCGTTTAAATATGGGAGCATATCTTTGTATTGCCTCGAATGGCATACCGCCATCAGTTAGCAAACGGGTCATGCTGATAATACATTGTAAGTATTTGTGTGTTATTATTTTTCAAAGTTTTTTTTTTATAAAAAAAATAAATAAATATTGTCCCATAAAAAAAATATTTGCAACCCAGGATTTTTGATTTTTTTTTAAATTTTAAGGCAGAAAATTTTAATATAATTTCTCAAAATTGTCTTATTAGTATTTTTTATTTTTTCTTAATTAAAAATCGGCCTTCGAGGGAGAGACCCATTCTCAAATTTTACAAATTTTTATTTATCATCTGTTGAATTTTCCTCTGTCCAAATAAAAATTAATTACCACTTTAATGTGTCCACAGCTGCAGTAGAATGTTGCAGCCACACAATTGCTCAATTTTATTTGTTACTTTAATCACAGAAATGCCTTTCCGTTCTCTGTTCTTCCTCTCCCTCTTCTCTAGTCCCGCCAATGATTTGGATACAAAATCAATTAGTGGGTGCTGCAATTGGACAAAATATAACATTGGAATGCCAATCGGAAGCATTTCCAAAATCAATAAACTATTGGATGAAAAATGACACCATAATAGTGCCGGGTAAGTAATCGAACTGAAATTGCAGATACTACAGCATGTTTACTATAAATCCAAAATACACACACACACACACACACACAAATACACAGACATTAAAACATACACCCGCAATACATGACAAAATTCCATGAAATGAATCTCTATTGAATTTAGAGAATTTGATGGTGAGAGAGTCTCCTCTCGTTCCCCCTATCCACCGTGGAGTCACCAGTGTAATCGAATAAGTGTGTGGGAGTAATATTCTCTTTAACCCACAAGCTGAAATTGACGAAGGAGAAGTAGTGCTAGTCCCAGCCATGTTACTATTTAATATTCCAAATGGGAATACTAGTTCGTCGACGATTGCCTTACTTTGCCACAAAACTGGAATTTCATTATCTGAACAATTAAATTGGGTTTAGAGGTTTTGTGGAGAAAATATTAAGGGGGAGGACAAAGGAAATCTCAGTAAAGCCAGATAAACAATTACTTTACAAATCCACCTCTTATATAGAACCATGAAAAAACCAGTAAGGAAACTAGTAAAGTCGGACGAGGCCGACTATATGATACTCTTCACCACTTTGGGTATATTCAACAGATGAATCCTAACAGACGTCGAATTTTTGAAGGACCATTAACATGAAAATGGATCCAAAAACATGTCATTCTGGAACCTATACACAATTTTAGGGTACAATGGGACAAAATTATGTAAATCCGGTTAAGTTATACTAATTTCAGTATGTTTTGTGCATATCGGTCACATTTTGAGTTCTTGCTGCATCATGTACTTAACATCGGGAGAAAATATATATAGGAGCTCTATACAAATCTCAACCGATTTAAAAATTTTCCGCACGCTAGGTTATATTAACTTCAGTACGTTGTGCAAAATGTTGTGTCAATCGGCCTACCTTTGGGTCTTTGGTGAACTATTTACTTAAAATCGGACGAAACTATATGGGAGCTATATCTAAATCTGAACCGATTCTTACATTTAATCGGACGAAAATATATATGGGAGCTATATCTAAATCTCAACCGATTTTCAAGAAACTTAGCACACATCATTCTGAACTTAATTCAGTACACAGTGCCAAATTTCGTGCAAATCAAACGATATATAGGGACTTTGGTACACCATATACCCTAAATCGGACGAAAATATATGTGGGAGCTATATCTAAATCTGCACCGATTTTCACATAACTTAATATACATTATTCTAGACCTAATTCAGTGCGCTATGCCACATTTCGTGCAAATCGAAAGATATATAGAAACTTTGGTACACAATTTACATTAAATCGGACGAAAATATATATGGGAGCTATATCTAAATCTGGACCGATTTTCACGAAACTTAACAAACATCACTTTAGACCTAATTTAGTACGCTATACCAAATTTCGTGCAAATCGAAAGATATATAGGGGCATTGGTACACAATTTACATTAAATCGGACGAAAATATATATGGGAGCTATATCGAAATCTGAACCGATTTTCACGAAACTTAACACACATCATTCTAGACCTAAGTCATTCCGCTGTGCCAAATTTCGTGCAAATCTAAAGATATACAGGGACTTTGGTACACCATTTACCTAAAATCGGACGAAAATATATATGGGAGCTATATCGAAATCTGAACCGATTTTCTCGAAACTTAATACACATCATTCGAGACCTAAGTCAATACGCTGTGCCAAATTTCGTGGAAATCGGAACTTTGGAGCACCATTTACATAAAATCGGACGAAAATATATATGGGAGCTATATCTAAATCTGAACCGATATTCAGGAAACTTACCACACGTCATTCTAGACCTAATTTTGTACGCTATGCCAAGTTTCGAGCAAATAGAAAAATATATAGGGACTTTGGTGCACCATTTTCATTAAATCGGACGAAAATATATAGGGGAGCTATATCTAAATCTGGACCGATTTTCACGATACTTAACAAACATCACTTTGGACCTAATTTAGTACGCTATGCCAAATTTCGTGCAAATCGAAAGATATATAGGGACTTTGGTACATCATTTACCTAAAATCGAAGGAAAAAATATATGGGCGCTATATCTAAATCTGGACCGATTTTCACGAAATTTACCAAACCTAATTTTAGACCTAATTCAGTACGCTATGCAAAATTTCGTGCAAATCCAAAGATATATAGGGACTTTGGTAAAACATTTACAACCGATTTTTCCCCATTTCAATAGGGTTCATCATTGTGCCAAATAAATGAGCTGTGCCAAATCTCATCCAATTCGAATCAGGCATGAGACAGACGGGCGGATGGGCGGACGGACGGACGGACATGCATAAATCGACTCAGAAAGTGATGCTATGCATAGTCTCAGAAGGAACCATGTGTATATCTCGTTTCGTTTTGCCTGTTACAAACATATGCACAAAGACATAATACCCTGTACCTCAGTGTGGTGAAGGGTATAATTAATTACAAAATCTCGCCTTATAGGGACCCCAGAAAAAATGATTTGAAAAATCCACGCCTTATATGAACCCAGAAAAAAATATTTTAAAAATCCAGGCCTTATATGGACCCCAGAAAAAATGATTTTAAAAATCCACGCCTTATATGGACCCCAGAAAAAATGATTTTAAAAATCCACGCCTTATATAGACCCCAGAAAAAATGATTTTAAAAATCCACGCCTTATATGGACCCCAGAAAAAATGATTTTAAAAATCCACGCCTTTTGTAGACTCCCTGAAAAATTACTTTAAAAATCCGCGCCTTATATGGACTCCAGAAAAAATGATTTTAAAAAATCCACGCCTTATATAGACCCCTGAAAAAATTATTTAAAAAATCCACGCCTTTGGTAGACCCCCTGAAAAAATTATTTAAAAAATCGACGCCTGTGGTATATCCTTAAATAAAATTTTCCCTATCAAAATGTGTGGGATATAACAAGCAAATCATTGTTAGACAAATTTATGAACTTGTTTCGTTTTTTTTTTCTTGCAAATTTTCCAACATTTTTCTCTTCCACCCACAAAAATCTGCTGTAATTTAATGCCCTCTAGTGGCTGTGAGGAAGGGGGTAGGAAATTATATACTAGATAAACAATGGCACCAGAGGAAAATATTGAATTCATGGAAGTGAAACTGTAGCCCTTTCGACAACTCTTAGAAATTTATGCTAATAGAAAATGTCTGACAGGTATGAAACTATATACCATGGTCTCCTACGCACACACATACACTCAAACCCACACATATATGCAATCCCTGCAAGCATTTGGAAGTGAGTTTCTCACTCCCTCGCCCAATAAGTCACTTCCGCGTCACTTCTTTTCGGATAAAAGGCGATAGTTTTTATAATTACAATAACAAAACTGTTCTTGTCTACTTTATATCGCCTTTGAGTTACTTCTGAGTGACGCCTGGGAAGACAAAAGAAGATTGATCAAATGCTACAAAAACAATTTGCTCTCTTTCAAAATTGTCTCTCATCTGCTTGTAAAAACAGTTAGAGGAGAAAACATATAAATCAACTCAGTTAATGTTAATTTTTCAAAAGTGATCTGTGTGTATCAATAATGAGATATTTAAATAATTA